GATTAAATAATATACACTGATTTGAGTTATTTTACCAAAAAAGTAGCATTTTGGCAAACTTTATGAAGAAAAAGAATTTATTTGCAAAATGTTATACCAGAAACTAACAAAAATGTGTTTTTTTTTTCAAAATGTTTTTTTATTTTTTTGCTTAAATTATTAAATACCACCATAAGAAAACTCTGTCTCAAAAAATTATAAAAATTGCATTTGGGTGCAGTGTTGCATGACTGAGTAATTGTCATTCACAGTGTGACAGCACTGAAACTGAAAGATTACGTGGGCAGTAAGAGGGAAGTGTTGTCACAGTTTACTCGAAACTAATGACCTGTAGGGGCTTTTAAAGCATCTATTGAAAATATAGCATACTGTTGTTTTGCAGGCACACACATATTTAAAGCTTGATATGTTGAGTATCTGAGGGTGAACTGCAGAAGAAAGGGCACATCTGCCAAAACTCAGTATGGCTACTCTAATTTGCGCAGAAATGTGTGCAGGCATTGCGCGCACACCTGTGCGCATGCATAGTGCACGCAGATGCACCATGGCGCACTCAAAGCATAACAGTTCCTCACGCCCAGTGGCCTATTTAGAGTCAGCACTCTGGAGTACAAGTTGCTGGATGATCGTCAGCCCCCTGTTACCCTGTGCTTCTGTGTTGCTGTTCTTTTGGATTTCCCATTGCTGACTCGGCTTGCCCCTGGACCTGTCTTGGCTTGTCTCCTGGCTCTGACCCCGGCTTGTTACATGGACATTGCTTACTGCCTGCCTCCTGTGTCTGACCTCGGCTAGATCTTTGGCTATGCTTCTGCTCCTGACTGACCTAAAGTGCACGATTCCTGCTTTGGTTCCTGATACCGCCTCCTGTTCTGCTCACCTGTCAAGATCTGACTGTACATCTGGAGTTCCGCCTGTCCGGCTGGTAGCCAGACTTCACCTGCCCATCTGGAGTGTCCTCTGCTCAGCTGATACCACCACAAGTCCCTTCCAACTGCCTCATCTACTCTGCTCATCAGGCTACTCTACAGCAAGTAACCTGTGCTTCTTTGGGTGCAGCACTTCCTCTTCCCACCTTCAGGGTGCTCTGCACTCAGCCGCAAGGGAAGCCCTTATGTCACTTCGGCCTCCGACTAGGTTTGTGACAGTATCAGGCAGCCACTATGTCCAAGACCAAAAGAGGTGCTTCCCTGTTAAATGCTTTGTGCCAGCAAGTCACTGCTCTCACCCAGACGGTGAAACATATGCAAGATGGATACTTCCAGTTAGAATGCCGCCTGCAAAACCTCACTGAGTCTGCCACTCCCACAGACCAGAGCCCGCCTGCCATAGCTTCTTCAGCTACTCTAGCTCAAGCATGTTTAACGTGCATTGTTGGTAGCTCCTCCAGAAACTAGAGTTTCTGAACGCTTTTCAGGTGAGCGAAGGAAGTTTAGGGCCTGCAAGAATGCCTTCCAATTGTACCTGGCACTCTAGCCAAGCCTTCTCTATAGAAACTGTGAAGGTGGGACTTATCTTCCTTCTTTCTGATGAACCTCAATCCTGGGCCCACCACTTGCTGGAGCAAAAGATTTTGTTTCAATTCTTATATTTATACACAGCGACAAATCACCCTATAATACCCCAGAAAAGTTATCCACCTCCACCCTTGAAGGCTAATTAAACAAAAAAATAAAACTTTTCCCTTTCACAAATAAATAACAATAAAATAAAAATAGAAATACAAACAACATAAAAAACATAAAAATTGTCCAAAATATCCAAAATTCAAAAATAGTCCCCACAGGTGTAAATAATGATTTTTCTTTCTTCTTTCATCAAAAAACTCCTTCTCGATACCCGCAAATCCTGATGACAGTACACCTCAAAAAGAAAAAAACTTGACATAGTGTCATACCTTTTAAATAATACAACACACGTGCCACTCACTGTGCAGCATGCAAAAATCTTTATATATGTGTATACTCCATAAACGAGTATCTATACACATGTAAATATTCTATAGTGAATATAGATATAAGTGAAACACACTCACATAAAATAGTGTCATAAACACAATGTGTAAAAGCAACTCCAACTTATCACTGCAAGTGTGTATCACCACACCCTGTATATATCAGTGATCACCTAAACCCAAAACAACACTCTCCAACTCATATGCTGATGGGTAATTACCCTATATAAGAAACATCAAGGCATAGCACCACTCTGGGTTAGTTTCTCCTCATAACGATTTCATCCAATACTAGGGTTTTTCTTCCATTATCCTCAAGAAAATCCACAGTCACAGATAGTGTATATAAAATATCCTCCTTTAATTGGTAACTCACATAAAATTTGGGTGAAATAGCTCCTCCTCACAGGGATACAAGTGTAGACAGATTCAGGGAAACATTAGCCACATGTTCCCACTTCCAAGATGGCCGCGATCGCACTTCCGGTCAGCGTCGATACGTTGGGGTCTTCTGAAAAAGTCATAGGAAGTGACGAAACGCGTCAGAGCACGTGACGTCAGACGTATCGACGCTGACCGGAAGTGCGATCGCGATCATATATAAAGATTTTTGCATGCTGCACAGTGAGTGGCACGTGTGTTGTATTATTTAAAAGGTATGACACTATGTCAAGTTTTTTCTTTTTGAGGTGTACTGTCATCAGGATTTGCGGGTATTGAGAAGGAGTTTTTGATGAAAGAAGAAAGAAAAATCATTATTTACACCTGTGGGGACTATTTTTGAATTTTGGATATTTTGGACAATTTTTATGTTTTTTATATTTTTTATGTTGTTTGTATTTCTATTTTTATTTTATTGTTATTTATTTGTGAAAGGGAAAAGTTTTATATTTTTGTTTGTTTCAATTCTGTTTCCTCTTTTTTTGACACAACAGCGCAACTTTATGAAGCCCCGTAACACGTGCCTACTGCTTAAGTTGCTCTTCAATTCCTTCAGCAGGGACGACTCCCCGTGGAGGACTATACTGTGGACTTCTGTAAATGGTCTGAGATATGGGGTGGAATGCGGTCATTCTCAAGTGCTAGTACTGGCTTGGTTTCTCTGAACCCTTCAAGGACCAACTGGCCAGAGTTGAGGCTCCTGCTACATTAGAAGGTCTCAGTTACCTGGCTGTTCAACTCGATAGACGCCTGTGGAGTGATGGTTGGAAAAGACGTGTGCTTACAGACCCACTTGGATGCTGCCCAAGGTACCAGCTACACCTCCGCCTATACCTATCACCACCACAGCTTCTGCCTCAGAAGGAGAACCTATGCAGAGCAATCTGGTGCACCTTGCAAGAAGATGAAACAATAGTCAGAAACAAATTGAGCGCTCTCCAATATAGCAGCTGATACAGTCAGGTAACCAAATGAAACCTCCAAAGTACAATGTATATGATAAAGTGCAGCGCTAAGTAAAACAATAAGAGATATAATCACAGTAGAATCCAAATAAGAATAAGTCTGTGGGTATATGGTAAGGTGAATCCAGAAGTGAGCAGAAATCAATATGCTGGTGCTCTGAAGGAATGATAAGATTGCAAACTTACCAGATGCACATAGGGTATACGCATTAATATATCCACCTCAGGACACTTAGGGTATGAGGTATGGTAGGTGTATGAAGATCATCCTTCAAGGAATGGGCAGCACAGCGGTCAATGGGTGAGGTCTTCTTAATCCAGAGGTCCCCTTTAGGATGGATAGGGTCAGTCACCTGCTTACAGGGATTCCTTTCCTCTGGATTCCTTTCCTCTGGAAACTCTTCAACCTGGAAATCTCCACTGACTTCTGAAACTTAATGGCTCCATAAAGAAGCCATAAAAAAGGTGCCCATGGTGTAGTATTTTCCTTGTAATTTTATTTATTTCACAAAATGGTAATACAGTGGTAAAAACAAGGTACACTGACCATTGACAAAGATGGCTGCCGGACCAGCACGTGGCTCCGGGGGCGTGACGTCACAGCGTGTTGATTCCCTTAGGCCTTTCGTGCCACGCATGTCCTCAGAGAGGAGATCAACACTGCTATGACTAACGCTGTAGGTTTATATAGACCCAGCGCACGCACTCCGTGTCGCCGCCATTTTGTCGAAGGGTGAATAGTGCGCATGCGCGGTCACGTCCGCGCCATTTTGTTGTGGATCAAGAGTCACAGCAAAGTTATTATACTTTGCTGAACATTAGTATTATATAACAGTCGGCAACTGTGTATAGTTACTAATTAAAAAACTCACCAAAGGTGCTTATTAGACTTATGTCCCTGTTAAGTCTAAAACAGAGAAGAAATATAAAAAGAAAAAGGTATAATAACCGATGCAAACCGATCAGTATATGTTTACATCATACTTAAAGGGGTAGTAATAAAAAGCTATAATCCAGTATGTTATGATAATTGTTCAAAATAAATATAATTGAATCTCATAAGGAGTAAAGAGTGATTATATTTCAGAGGTACTTAATATTTTAAGTGATAAAACCACTTATTCTCTCCTTCCCAAGGACCCTCTTCCAGGTTTTAAGCGCTCTCTTAAGCATATTATTAAACTTGGTTTTGAAAATAAGATTTTAAATAAAAAAGAAAAAGCGTTTTTATGTCCAGTTGCACCTAAACTAACTGTATTTTATATTTTACCTAAGATTCACAAAGACCCGATTTAACTACTTGCCAACCGCAGATAGCTGAATGACGGCTACACTGCGGCCGGCCAGTTCTGGGAGGGCATCATATGACATCCTCCCAGAACGCCCTCTCCTACGGACACAGCTGATCATGTGATGTGGTAAAAGGCCAATCACAGCGGCCTTTTACCACATGATCAGCCGTGTCAAATGACACGCTGATCACCGGGAAATGCAATTGCCGGTTCTCGGCTGCACTTTCCTTACGCTGTCAGAGCATGAGGAAAGTACTGCCGAGAACCAGCAGTTGTCAGAGCAGGGATCGGCACCAATCATCAGGGCACTGATGATCAGTGCCCTGATGATCGGTGCCCAGCAGCGCCACCCACCAGCTCCGCCCACCTGTGCCCAGCAGTGCCACCCACCTGTGCCCAGCAGTGGCCACCAGTGCCACCTACCTGTACCCAGAAGTGCCACCTGCTTGTACCCAGCAGTGCCACCCACCAGTGCCACCCACCAGTGCCCATCAATGCAGCCCAGCAGTGCTGCCAGTCAGTGCCCAGCAGTTGCACCAGTCAATGCCTAGCTGTGCCACCAGTCAGTGCCCAGCAGTGATGCCAGTCAGTGCCACCTATCAGTGCTGTCTATCAGTACCCATCATCAGTGCCACCTATCCGTGACACCTCATTAGTGCTGCCTATCAGTGCCACCTCATTAGTGCTGCTTATCAGTGCCCTTCAGTGCTGCCTATCAGTGCCCATCAGTGCTGCCTCATCAACGCACATCAGTGAAGAAGAAAAATTACCTGTTTGAAAAATTTTATAATAGAAACAAAGAAACTTTTTTTTTTCAAATTTTTGCATTTTTTTGTTTATAGCGCAAAAAGTAAAGCGCCCAGCGGCGATTAAATACCACCAAAAGAAATCTCTATTTGTGAGAAAAAAATGATAAAAATGTCATATGGGTATAATCTTGCATGACTGCGCAATTGTCAATCAAAGTGCGACAGCGCTGAAAGCTGAAAATTGGCCTGGTAAAGAAGGGGGTATAAGTGCCCGGTAGGCAAGTGGTTAAACCTGCAGGCAGACCAATTGTCAGTGGCATAGGGTCTTTGTGTTCAAAAATCGGTGAATATATCGATCATTTTCTACAGCCACTTGTAATACAGACACCTTCTTATCTTCGGGATACAAAACAGGTTTTAAATGCAGTGAAGGATGTCATCTTATCAACCACATATCTTGTTACTGCCGATGTGGCATCCCTTTATACCAATATTAGTCATAAGGATGGCATGGAAGCTGCAGATTTCTTCCTTACGCATTACAGCACTTTACCCACGGCACAAAAAGATTTTGCAATGACCAAAAACTACTTCTGGTTCAACAAGGAATACTACTTGCAAATTAAAGGAGTAACCATGGGGGCCAAATTTGCCCCAAGCTTAGCAAATCTCTTTATGGCTTACTGGGAGGAAGTCAGAACTGTTATTATACAAAAGGTATATTGAGGATATCCTTCTTCTGTGAAACAGAGATGAGCAATCTTTGACAAATTTTTTCAGCACTTTAAATAACAATAATCTTAATTAATATTAGCCTGACTTATACTTTTAGTAAACTACAGATTCATTTCCTGGACCTTACCCTAATGAACTATAACGGAAAAATCACTGCTAAATCTTTTTTTTTTAAAACAGACCGCAATAGCTATATTCCTGTGGATAGCTGCCACCACACATCGTGGCTGGTGAATATTCCAAAGGGTCAGTTCATGAGAATCCGTAGAAATTGTACTAATATAGATGATTATCACTCACAAGCCTTGATTCTCAAAAATAGATTTCTAGAGAAATGCTACAACGAGATTACTCTAGATAACACTCTGAATGCTGTGGCTGATTTAGGTAGAAATGAAAAGCTGACTAATACGGTAAGAACAGCACAAACCCATGTCTGTCCTTTTATTACCACGTATTCAATGCAGCATAGGGCTATTAGTGGGATCATCAAAAAGAACTGGGATATTTTAAAAACAGACCCGATACTTTCAAACATTCTACCTGAGAAACCAGAAATAGTTTTTCGTAAAGCTACAGCCATTAGACACCACTTAGCGCCTAATATCGTAGACCCACCCAAAACGATTTCATTGTTTTCTGATTTAAATGGTTTCCATCCATGTAACAGATGTGTTATATGTACAGTGGGGATCGAAAGTTTGGGCACCCCAGCTAAAAATTTGTATTAATGTGCATAAAGAAGCCAAGGAAAGATGGAAAAATCTCCAAAAGGCATCAAATTACAGATTAGACATTCTTATAATATGTCAACAAAAGTTAGATTTTATTTCCATCATTTACACTTTCAAAATAACAGAAAACAAAAAAATTGCGTCTGCAAAAGTTTGGGCACCCTGCAGAATTTATAGCATGCACTGCCCCCTTTTCAAAGCTGAGACCTGCCAGTGTCATGGATTGTTCTCAATCATCATCTGGGAAGACCAGGTTATGTCAATCTCAAAGGTTTTAAATGCCCAGACTCATCTGACCTTGCCCCAACAATCAGCACCATGGGTTCTTCTAAGCAGTTGTCTAGAAAACTGAAACTGAAAATAGTTGACGCTCACAAAGCTGGAGAAGGCTATAAGAAGATAGCAAAGCATTTTCAGATGTCGATATCCTCTGTTCGGAATGTAATTAAGAAATGGCAGTCATCAGGAACAGTGGAAGTTAAAGCAAGATCTGGAAGACCAAGAAAAATATCAGACAGAACAGCTCGCAGGATTGTGAGAAAAACAATTCAAAACCCACGTTTGACTGCACGATCCCTCCAGAAAGATCTGGCAGACACTGGAGTCGTGGTACACTACAGTCAGGTCCATAAATATTGGGACATCGACACAATTCTAACATTTTTGGCTCTATACACCACCACAATGGATTTGAAATGAAACGAACAAGATGTGCTTTAACTGCAGACTGTCAGCTTTAATTTGAGGGTATTTACATCCAAATCAGGTGAACGGTGTAGGAATTACAACAGTTTGCGTATGTGCCTCCTGCTTGTTAAGGGGCCAAAAGTAATGGGACAATTGGCTTCTCAGCTGTTCCATGGCCAGGTGTGTGTTATTCCCTCATTATCCCAATTCCAATGAGCAGATAAAAGGTCCAGAGTTCATTTCAAGTGTGCTATTTGCATTTGGAATCTGTCGCTGTCAACTCTCAAGATGAGATCCAAAGAGCTGTCACTATCAGTGAAGCAAGCCATCATTAGGCTGAAAAAACAAAACAAACCCATCAGAGAGATAGCAAAAACATTAGGCGAGGCCAAAACAACTGTTTGGAACATTCCTAAAAAGAAGGAACGCATCGGTGAGCTCAGCAACACTAAAAGACCCGGAAGACCACGAAAAACAACTGTGGTGAATGACCGAAGAATTCTTTCCCTGGTGAAGAAAACACCCTTCACAACAGTTGGCCAGATCAAGAACACTCTCCAGGAGGTAGGTGTACCTGTGTCAAAGTCAACAATCAAGAGAAGACTTCACCAGAGTGAATACAGAGGGTTCACCACAAGATGTAAACCATTGGTGAGCCTCAAAAACAGGAAGGCCAGATTAGAGTTTGCCAAACGACATCTAAAAAAGCCTTCACAGTTCTGGAACAACATCCTATGGACAGATGAGACCAAGATCAACTTGTACCAGAGTGATGGGAAGAGAAGAGTATGGAGAAGGAAAGGAACTGCTCATGATCCTAAGCATACCACCTCATCAGTGAAGCATGGTGGTGGTAGTGTCATGGCGTGGGCATGTATGGCTGCCAATGGAACTGGTTCTCTTGTATTTATTGATGATGTGACTGCTGACAAAAGCAGCAGGTTGAATTCTGAAGTGTATCGGGCAATATTATCTGCTCATATTCAGCCAAATGCTTCAGAACTCATTGGACGCCGCTTCACAGTGCAGATGGACAATGACTGCAAAAGCAACCAAAGAGTTTTTTAAGGGAAAGAAGTGGAATGTTTTGCAATGGCCAAGTCAATCACCTGACCTGAATCCGATTGTTCATGCATTTCACTTGCTGAAGACCAAACTGAAGGGAAAATGCCCCAAGAACAAGCAGGAACTGAAGACAGTTGCAGTAGAGACCTGGCAGAGCATCACCAGGGATGAAACCCAGCGTCTGGTGATGTCTATGCGTTCCAGACTTCAGGCTGTAATTGACTGCAAAGGATTTGCAACCAAGTATTAAAAAGTGAAAGTTTCATTTATGATTATTATTCTGTCCCATTACTTTTGGTCCCTTAACAAGTGGGAGACACATATGCAAACTGTTGTAATTCCTACACCGTCCACCTGATTTGGATGTAAATACCCTCAAATTAAAGCTGACAGTCTGCAGTTAAAGCACATCTTGTTTGTTTCATTTCAAACCCATTGTGGTGGTGTATAGAGCCAAAAATGTTAGAATTTTGTAGATGTCCCAATATTTATGGACCTGACTGTATTCCACTATAAAGAGATACTTGTACAAATATGGTCTTCATGGAAGAGTCATCAGAAGAAAACCTCTTCTATGTCCTCACCACAAAAAATTATCGTTTGAACTTTGCAAATGAACATATAGACAAGCCTGATGCATTTTGGAAACAAGTTCTGTGGACCGATGAGGTTAAAATTGAACTTTTTGGCCGGAATGAGCAAAGGTACGTTTGGAGAAGAAGGGGCATAGAATTTAATGAAAAGAACCTCTGTCCAACTGTTAAGCATGGGGTTGGATCAATCATGCTTTGGGGTTGTGTTGCAGCCAGTGGCACAGGCTGCAACACAACATCTCACGAGTAGAAGGAAAAATGGATTCAATAAAATTTCAGCAAATTTTGGATGGTAACTTGATGCCATCTGTGAAAAAGCTGAAGTTAAAGAGGATGGCTTCCACAAATGGATACTGATCCTAAACACACCTCGAAATCTACGGGGGATTACATCAAGAGGCGTAAACTGAAGGTTTTGCCATGGCCTTCACAATCTCCTGACCTCAACATAATTGAAAATCTATGGATAGACCTTAAAAGAGCAGTGCGTGACAGACAGCCCAGAAATCTCAAAGAACTGGAAGACTTTTGTAAGGAAGAATGGGCAAAGATACCTCAAACAAGAATTGAAAGGCTCTTGGCTGGCTACAAAAAGCATTTACAAGCTGTGATACTTGCCAAAGGGGGCAGTACAAGATATTAACTCTGCAGGGTGCCCAAACTTTTGCAGACACCATTTTTTTGTTTTCTGTTATTTTGAAAGTGTAAATGATGGAAATAAAATATAACTTTTGTTGACATATTATAAGAATGTCTAATCTTTAATTTGATGCCTTTTGGAGATTTTTGCAGGGTGCCCAAACTTTCGATCCCCACTGTACTTGTAATAACATCAGAAAATGGAAAATAGAATCATTCACCTCTAATACTACAGGTAGATCACACAAAATAAAGAATTTTATCTCCTGTAACAGTAGATATGTGGTCTACATGCTCCAATGTCCCTGCAACAAACAATACGTGGGTCGGACAACGAGGAGACTCAGAGACCGCCTTCGTGAGCATGTCTACAACATTAAATAAGGCTTTAAAGAGCACTCTAAATAAATAAATAAATTGGTGTAGCGCTAAGTAAATACTAACATGTACATCACAATTATATAACATAACTCATTACACCGTGTATAATAATATTAAATAAATAAGTGAATATAATAAAGTGCAAAACACTACAAAAAATACATTTTATTATTTTTATTATTATACAGTATTTAT